CTCGTAGAGCTCGTTTTTTCGGTAACCATTGGAATTATTGATCTAATTGTGGATATCATGTTTATTGTCGATATTATTATCAATTTCAGAACAACTTATGTCAATGAAAATGACGAAGTTTGTTACTATCATTTTTAATTTTAAAACAAATTATTCATCTTAATTATTAGAATAATAATTTATTTTTATTCAATTTACTAAAATTTGCTTAGTTAATAAATTTCAGTAATTAAATTCAAATTTTTCATCTAAAAATTTGTTTATTTATTTTTCAGGTTGTATCACATCCCGGAAAGATAGCAATACATTATTTTAAAGGCTGGTTTATAATAGATATGATTGCTGCTGTGCCCTTTGATCTTCTGCTTGTAAATACAAACAGTGATGAGGTTAGATTTTTTTTTTTCCTATATCTTCTTACATTTCCCACAATTATTGTTCGGATTAATTAGGATAAAATAATGAGTTATTTGCATTATTCTTTATCAGCTGTTATCATTTGCTAATTGCTTTATTACTAATTTCAGAATGAATTTTAGTCATTCATTAGGAATTTAATGACCTTCTGACCTTTTTACGAGTATGAGGAAAGAATTTATTGCATAATAAAATTTTAATATAGTACTAGTTTTTTCTTCCGAATTTGGTACGGTAAGATTTCATTTCATGAAAAGTCATACTATAGGTTGTTTTTTTCTTTCTTTTTAAATTCGAATTATTATTACTTCAAGCGGCAATGATAAGACCTTATTGAATACATAAATTCTCGACTAATCATTCTTAATTAGGAAATTCATAATAGAATATATTTCCGTCGATGTTTAGTTGAGCATTTGGCAGTCTTTTTTTTCTTCTAATTATTTTCAAACCCTAAAATTAATCTTAAAGCGAATTGACATATTTAGTTTTTTTTTTTCTTTTCGCTAATGTAAAAATTGTTTTAGTATATTTAATTATTAAAGTTTTAAATGACTAATAGCTTAATATTGCAATAGTGTGCAATATTAAGCTAAATGGTAATTTAATTGGTGAAGAGTAAAATAGGGAAAATAATTAGATCAATTAGAGTTAACTGAACAAGTAAACAAACATAATCACGATCAAGATTAAAGGAAGTACGTAGTATTAACTAAGATTTAATGAGTATTAATGATCTGACCCTTTTAATCTTTAGAAATAACTCTTTGGATAGATGTTAATATTTTAGATGAAGGGTTAATTATCGATTAATTAAATTTAGGAAGCTTAATATCTTTAATGCTAAAAATATCACATTGAAAGTTGTCATTTTTGCGATAATTTAAATGAATTTTACTTCCTTCACACTATATGAAATAAATATTGAAAAAGGACAAACAAATGGGTACTCAATGATACACGTTCACGTATGACTTTTACGTTTGCGTCGTTCACGTACGAGATATGAAAGTTATCACTAAAGAAGACTATTTATGAAAGATAATGTTGCAATAAAGTTTTGATTATATGTTAAATTTTAGAAAAAAAAATGAAATTTTTCTTTTTTTAAGATCGGTGGGCTCAACAAGGACGAGGTAAATTGCAAGCAATTATTCATTCTTGGCTCGTTTTTTTTTTTCTCATTTTTTATCGTTTTTTCTTCCATCTTTTTTACTTACAAACTGCATGATACGAAAGAGCAAATGTCTGCACGAAGGGCGCAAAAGTCTGCACAAAGTGTGCAAAAGTTTGCACGAAAGGCGCAAAAGTCTGCACAAAGTGTGCAAAAGTTTGCACGATAAGTTTTTTCTTTTCTTAAACCTTATCCCTTTTTCCTTCTAATTTATTCGTTTTAAAAATAAGAAATAATTTAAAAAAAAAAAAGGAAACATTTCCTCTTTTCCCTTTCACTTATTGCAATAGAATCATTAATACTTAGAAGATAATTTAGGTTTTTTTTTTCTTTTTTCTTCCCACTATTTAATTTACCCTTTTTTAAATCCCCAAAAAAATTTTTGAGAAACAAAATTCTTTAGATTAGAATTTTTTTGTTGTAAAAAAAAAAAGAAACTGTTTTATAAAATATTGTCAAAAAAAGTGACCAACTTTAAATTAAGACAAGCAAGAGGAAAAAAAAACCAATAATTTGTTTTATTGTATCATGCTTTCGAATGAATGGTCCTTCTCGTTGACCGTTTTATTTTGTTGACCAAAATTAAAATGATTATGGCTAATGGTCAAACGTAAATGTCCAATATGCAATAGATAAATGAATTGGAAAGTACAAAGCACTTCAAAATATTTTAACAAACATTAATCAAATAATAAATGAAACTAACAACTTACTGCTTTAGTGTATTTCAAGCTAATATCGAACTATTAACAATTGAACTGACAAAAAAAATATATATATAATGGAGATGAACTTTAAATTCCCTTTTCTTTATTATTTACTACTAATCTAATAATGAATTCAAAAATTTTTATTCGACAATTCATTGGCAATGCAAGTGACAGTGACAATAGCATTTGACAAAATGTGACACATAATTTGAGAAGTAAACTTTTAATTAAACCCATCAAAAAGTTACTTTTATTGCCTATATTGATAAGTTTAAAACAATTGGCGAAGAAGGTACTATTTTGGAAAATACGAAATTTTGTTTTTCCAGATTATAAACTTAAAATAAGATTTAATTAAACAAAATCTAATTAAGTCATTTTATGCAAAAAAAAAAAAAAAAACTTCATTAATGGAGATTCAAACATATTTCCTAAGTGATAGCATTTTATCGTCGTTAATTAAATAATTAAAACTTCTTTCGTCTTTTATTGGACAATAACATTTTTATATTTCAAAACCTGACAAAAATTAATCCTTAATTATATTTGTATGAAATACTCAAGAAGGCTATTATCAAATTGTATGTCCGTTCTTTTTGCATTCCACAAGATGAAATATCGTTAGTGTGACAATAAGCGGACAAGAGGGAAGTGACAAGAAGAGTTCTTGCAATCTTAATAATAAGGAGTATAATTAATAAGTGCATCAATTAATCGATTTATTTAGCTTAATTAATTTTCACTCCATGCAATTTTTTGTTTTTTTCTGAACACAATATTGACCGTAATGTAAATTATTTTCAGTAAAATTGATCAGAAATGGTTTATCAAACATATATTTCAAAATTTGCATAATACATTATAATAAGATTTAATATTTAGATAATAAATTCAATTTAAAAGCTATGTAAGTTTCAATAAAATAAAAAAAATTTTCAATATTTAAAATTCAATAGCTAATAATTATGCAAGAATTATAAAACTTACATATTCATCTAATTTCAAGAAATTATTACTCATTTTAGTTTAATCTTCTCTTTTTCTTAAAGTTAATTTAAAAAATTTAAATAATTTAAATTTGTTAGAAATGTTTTACAAACATTTTTCAATCATTAATTGTAACTGTAAGAATGAAAGGTACAGTAATTAAGATTTTATTCACTTTTTGGTGGTGTGCTAATTTCACATAACCATTATCCCTAACCATCTAATCATTTTTTTTTTTTGAAACCAAATTTTTACTCAGTTTCAAATTGAAACTTGAATAAAAATTTGGATTTAATAAAATTAATTTCAAAATATTTACATAGTGCTTTTTTTGCCTTTTTTTTTTTTTGTGATACTCTGAAAATTTTCAAAAATTTTCGGATAGTTTTAAAAAAAAAAAGTTTCAAAAAATTTAAAGCACTTGAAATATTATTGAAATTTATTTACAAATAAAAAAAATCAAAGAGATATAATTTTGTGAAATTTGTGAATTTATATTTTCTAGACGACAACATTAATTGGATTATTGAAAACAGCTCGTCTCCTAAGATTAGTACGGGTAGCCAGGAAACTGGATCGTTATTCTGAATATGGTGCTGCTGTTCTATTATTACTTATGGCAACATTTGCATTAATTGCCCATTGGCTTGGTTGTATTTGGTATGCAATTGGAAGTGCTGAATTGCCTCATAAAGAATTCACATGGTTACATCAGCTTGGTATTTTTTTTAATTTAATTTTTGAATTATTTAAAATATTATAATGATTCACACATTAAATAGTTTAGCATATTTATCGTATCTTAATTTTGCTAATTAATTTTTACTAATTAATGTTACTAATTAATTATTTTGAATAATATTTGATAATTTTATAAGAAGATTGATAGTTTGATAAGAAGATTATATATATAATATATAAATATTAAATAAAATTGAAAGTAAATAAATAATTTGAAAAGAATAAATCTAATAATCATTGATGTTAATTTTCAAAAATTCTATTTGTTGAAACATTTTTTTTTTTTTTAAACATATGATTTAAAACAACTATTATTAACATAAATTATTTTATAAAATAATAATTTAAATTTTTAAAGTATAATTAATTATAGCACGTCATTTAAATGAACCTTATTTATCAACAAATGGAAGTGTACCAACTGGTGGACCATCATTGAAATCACGTTATGTTACATCACTTTATTTTACACTCTCAACAATCACCTCAATTGGCTTTGGCAATGTTTCTGCTACAACTGATTCTGAAAAAATTTTCACTATTATTATGATGATTTTAGGATGTTTAGTTTTTTTCTTTTCATTTTTTAAAATTATTTAAATTTAATTTTTTTTCTACAAATATTAAATTGGTAAATTATTGAAAAGATATGAAAATTTTAATTTAAAATTTTAGCATTAATGTATGCATCCGTATTTGGTAATGTATCAGCAATAATACAACGACTATATAGTGGTACAGCAAGGTATCATACGGAAATGTCTAGATTACGTGAATTTATACGCTTTCATCAAATTCCAAATCCTCTACGACAAAGGTTGGAGGAATATTTTCAACATGCCTGGTCTTATACCAATGGTATCGATATGAATACTGTAAGTATATCTTTTACCATATTACTATCTGAAAAAAAAAAAATTCTTTATACCTTCTAATGTATTTTTAGAAATCATTTTTCAATATTACTATTATCGTACTATATTTGTTTTGTTTGGTTTTTTTCTTTTTTTTTTCTTATTTATTCCTCTCAGGTATCAATTCTTAGACAAATAATTTAATTATTCACAGGTATTGAAAGGTTTCCCAGATTGCCTTCAAGCAGATATATGTCTTCATTTGAATCGAAATTTGCTCAACAGTTGTCCAGCATTTGCAGGATGCTCACCTGGTTGTTTACGAGCCTTAAGCATGAGGTTATTTTATGCTTAATATTTTATTAATCAATTTTATCATATGATTGTAATTTTTTTTTTTTGGATAAAAATTACAAATTATTGATCAAATATAGTTAAACTATATTTGGAAAATTATTAAATTCAAAAAATTATTAAATTTTGAAAATTATTAAATTTATTAAAAAAATTATTAAATTTTGAAAATTTAAATTTAAATTTTTTTTTTAAATTTAAATTTTTTTTTTAAATTTGAAATTTAAATTTTGAAAATTATTAAATTTTGGAAAATTATTAAATTCCCCGGGAAAAAGAAAAAAATATTTTTAAATATAAAAAGAATGAAGCAAATTATAGGTTTCGAACAACACATGCACCACCGGGTGATACCCTGGTACATCGAGGTGATGTGCTTACTGGATTAAATTTTATTGCAAGAGGTTCCGTGGAGATTCTTAAGGATGATATGGTTGTGGGTATTCTTGGTGAGTTAATAAAATATATGTAAATAAGCTTGAAATTAATATTAATTTTGAAAAAGAAAAAAAGAAAAGAATGAATTAATTTATAGGAAAAGATGATATTTTTGGTGAAAATCCATTATTACACGAAGATGTTGGCAAATCATCATGCAATGTTCGAGCCTTAACTTATTGTGATTTGCATAGGATATTACGGGATGATTTGCTTGATGTGCTTGATATTTATCCTGAATTTGCTGAAAATTTTTGTCGCAATTTAATTATTACATATAATTTACGAGACGTTAGTTTCTTTTTTTTTTTTTAAAGTTTTATAATATTTTAAAATATTTATAAAGCAGAAAAAAATCAAACAATACTGATAATTTTGCAAAATTCTACAAAAGATATATCTTTTTTAAAGTGCAGTTCTTTTTTTTTTTTTTTTTTTAAACATATACGTATGATATTTAACTGATTTAGGAAGCTCAATCGATGAAGAAACGACTTGACAGGCATAAACTTTTACGAATGTCATCATCGTTGGACAAAGAAAAATATCTTCACTTCAACGAGAAGGTTAGGGAAAAAAAATTTTTTTTCCTTGCAATTTATATTTGCATCCTTTTTTTTTTTTTTTTCACTTTATGATGAATTTGATTTATTTGTCGCTCTTTGTGTTTTGGCCAATTTGCTAGGCATTAACTCGAAGTGAGAGAAAAGAGCCAAATTCTAGAGGATAAAAAGGAACTGAGGGCAATGATAAGTGAAAAGTGAAATAATGGCAAGTATTATTTGAAACATGCAATTTTTTTGAATTACACTATTGAACTTTTTTTTTCTCCTTTATTATATTCAAATTAAATTAAGCAATTGAAAATCATTAATCAGAAATGAAAGGAATTCATTGGAAATGAGAAACTCGCACAACAGTTCTTGATTTGTGGAATTTTTCACGATAAAAAGTTTAACAATTTTAAAAACTCATGAAGTTCAGAAATTATGTCCATTTAATTGGAATGGAAATAAAATATTTTCAGGTTCGATAGATAGAAGGGATGATTTTGCTGCTCGAGTTGAGCCAACAAGTTAGTTTCAGACATCTTTTATAATGTGGAAATCTAGCAGTTGCACTAATTTGAGACATGTCATAGTTCAAGCATTAGCAGTTTCAAATTTCTTCTCCTTCAAAAAACAATTTTTATTTTTTCAATTTTCATCATACAGTAACTTAACTTTCTTCCTAATAATTTTTTAATTACTACAGAAAGGATATTTCATAAAACAATTCATAATGCATAAGATAGCCTTACTAATTGTATTATGAAATATTTATAAATACTTGTTTCAGTAATTCATGCAAATATCTAAAAAAACATTTCTTTCATTCCTTTGAATATCTCTAAATTATCAATAGTTCAATTAGTGGCTATAGAATCGATTGTTACATTGTTGAAAATTGAAGTAGAAAGTAGATATGACGTACGATCACGCCATTATGTAAGATATAATCGATTGCATCGAATAACCTGAATATCCCTAATAGTTCATTGATAAATTGTTATCTCTAATGGACAATGTACTTAGTTTGTTAACAGTAATGCAACTTTTCCATTGATAAAGGATATCACCAGAATGTGAAAAGCATTTCGCTTGTAAAGTAAAATAATCATAGGTATAATGAAGAATCTTATCACAATCAACAATTCTATATCAAGATATCATATGTCTGTGTTTAATTCTCTCATCTAGTTTTTTTTTTTTCAAATTTGAATTGCTAATTAGATGAGATTGTCACACTGCAAAAGAAAGTATTACGAAAGTTACTTTCCAATCTTATTTGCAATTAAAAAGTATTTTAAATAAAATTATTGTTTTTATATTAAATTTCAAATTTTTTCCTATCATCTAAAATGCTTTTAAAAATGTTTATATCAATACATTCATGATATTGACCCCATAATTTATCAATCCTTATAAAGGTCAACCTTATTCTCTGTCATTTTCTCATCTATTCATCGATCAAAATTTGATAGATTTCATTTCTCTTATTCTCTCTATTAACTTATGAATTATGTTTTCAAGTTTCACTATTTCCTTATTATCTTTATTTGAATTTAACAATTCCCCAATTTATTACTAAAATTTACATGACAAAAATGACAGTAAATGATATGAGATGAAAATTTTTTGATTTTATTTTCAACGAGATATTTGCATTGATTTGTTATATTTTTAAGAAATTTCTAGAATCTTACCTTATTCATTTTGAATTTTCTTTTTTTTTTTTTTCTAGTAAATAATCGTTCTGAGAACGATCATACACGTTATCAGGTGCTGGAGAGGAGACTTAGTGACATTGAAAGGTATGAAATGTCATTGATATTTGATTTATTGATTTGAAATCTTGAACTTTTCTGTTCAAAAAACTTGATTTGAATTTGATTTTGAATTAAAAAATTTTCAATCCATTAATTATTTTACATGAAATATAATCAGCCATATATGGTTGCAGCCATTTGGAGAAAATGGAAAATAAAATCAACAGCAGCCTTGAACAAATTTTAAGGGTTTTAATTCCGGAAAATGCTTTAATTAATTCGTCTTCCGGTCGTTCACCAAAGGGTACCTCTGTTCGAACGATTTACTCATCTCGCAGTGCCTCAGGAATTCTTCCATTCAGGGTATCTATTTTGTGTTCTGAAATAATTTAGATTCCTGAATACATAACTTTTGTATCTGATGCTAAAATTCTAAAGTTGTCACAGATGTTACTGTCGGAGTTTTCTGATATCCTCAAATGTTGACTGATCATAAATGAACCAATTAATTGGCTTAAACATTGCATATTTCTTAGAAATTATTGACTTCCCTCCTCATTAACATAATATACAATGGGTTTCATTGGAATTTTTAATGAAAATATTTCATTAGAACAATTTTGGCATCATTTTAATTGTTTAACCTTTAACCTTTAACCTTTAACCGTTAATCTTTCTTTTCCCATTAATTTACACAATTTTCAGTTGGGAAATAGGAATGAGGAGTTGATACCATTGAGATTGCCAAGCAGTTACAGTGGAACGGATGATGCTAGTAGTCCATTAATTGGTACTAGTACCACACCTCCAACACTGTTACCAACCACTTCACGCTCACTTCAACCTCGTCGTTCGGGTCGTCCCTCATTGGTCTCTGCTATATCGGATCAATCAACACCAACCAGGTCTGAACTATCACCTGAAGATACCGATACGTTATTATAGCACTAACTAAAATTACGGTTTCATTCTTCATTTTTCCTTCATTTCGTAGAAAGTTTTTTTTTTTTTTTTTTTTTTTTTGTGTTAAACTTCTTCCTCCTCCTTTCACATTATTTCATTGTATGTAGCATCGAGTTTTATGCTCAATTTAGCATATCATAGCACAAATATTTTTTTCAAATCTTTTGAATTTATCTTTTATACAGTAGTAAATCTTCCGATCTATCTGACTTCCCTTTTTATCATTTCCGGAAAAATTGATTTTTCCGAAAACTAAATAAAAAATTTTCAGTTTTCATTTGAGATTATTATATTGAATTGGATTGTTTAGAAAATGTTTGTATTTGTGTTGTGGTACACAATGACAATTTTCTTTTCTCAGGGGATCTATGTCGTCCCGGTGTACCGTTATTGGTCTTTTTTTTTTTTACAATGATTTCTTTTTTATGAAATGTAAAATTTTAAATTTACACATGTTTTGTTGAATTTACCGATTAATTTTTAGTGCAAATGATATAGTATTATATGGTAATAGATCGCTTCACTCCGGTGCCCTTTTATTTTTTCTTTTTAAAATTTGATTTGAATCATTGCGAAATTATTATTATTATTATTATTATTACTATTATTATTATTATTATCATCATCATCATTATTATTATTATTGTTACCATTATTATTATTATTATTATTATTATTATTATTATTATTATTATTATTATTATTATTATTATTATTATTATTATTATTATTATTATTATTATTATTATTATTATTATTATTATTACTATATATTATTATTATTATTATTATTATTA